GCATAATGCTATTATGGTAATACAGGTACTGTATCTTCTATCGATAAGTTCCATCGAAGATGTAATATTATCAAGGTTTTGCGTGGCTTTAGACCTGAGAACTGCGTTGTGTTATATGTCTTCCCCACCTGATGAATCTAAAATCTTAAAATTGCTTATTTAATTATTTTGAGAATTATACCGGAATTTTTATTATTACAACTAATATTTTACTTTTGCGAGTATACTTTTTCAGTAACTAAATAATTTACGTAATCCTATGCTCTGGCATAATAAATGTTTTTAATACATGGTCATGCAATAATTTTATAACAAGGAACCTTTTTTTTTTTTGGAAAGTTCTTAAGATAAAGCCAAAATGTAGTTAAGGTCGATATAATTATTAATTAAATTCCTCCCTATTTAAATATATATTCCCAACCTGTATAGGAAATCATCTAATAACTGAAATCCTTTAATCGAATCTATAAAGAAGCTCACTCAATAAAAATTATTTCGAAAAAAAAAAAAAACAATTATATGCTATCAAGAGCCAAACCATAATACATGCCTTAAAATGCTTTCGATGAAAGACTCTTGATATCATATGTATTCAAGATCTTAATCCCGTGATTTTCCAGTTCTTTAATAGACACGTTATGTACATACCTATTATTGTCATAATTTCCATATTTTTTCAAAGTCTTGTGTTTGGAAGCAAATTCGAGAATTGTGAGTATACTCTCTTCGAAATCACGATAACAATCAATTGAAATAATTAATGTTGATAATGGAGCTCTGCAACTATTAATAAAATCGGTAAATGCCTCATTAGAAATATATAATCCATCCAATTTCAAGTAAACTAGCGAGGTAGGAAGATTTTCTCCTAAAAATTTTAGTGATTTAGTTGTATCTTCAGTGGACAACCGGAATGTTCCTCCGAATGATAATTCAAGTTGTTGAATTTTTGTTGAGCCGATCCATGTAATTAGACTGTAATTGTAAACTGACACCTCTATGTATAAAATGTTAAGGTTTGGACAATGATTTAATGCAGCTTGTGTAGTTTCTGAGCAAACATTGTCCAGCACCATTTGTTGTAAATTTACACCTGCCTTAGCAATAAGTGCTGCAGTAATAGAATTTGACCAAGAATTTCTTAACAATGATAAAAACTTTAGACGGAATGATGCTGCAGACAATGTAACACTATGCTCTTTCGTCATATTTCGACATTTCTGTAGACAGAGCGATTCCAATGAATAGAAGCCAGCCAAAGCGGCAATTGAAGCATCATTAAATTTAACAGATCGAAATGCCAATGAAGTTACATAGTTTGCCTGTGATTCCATGACTGGGACCAAGAGTGGTCTAAATTGATAAAGACTTCCTTTCAGAATCATATT